CCTTATCAAAGAAAAAAACACATTTATGAGACTTGTACATCTCAGTTTTGTTGGTAGTGATGGAACAAATGACAGTACCGTTGTCAAGGGAGAATCACAAAATATTGTGGCTTTGGTTTCTATTCCCCTTTGCTCTGCTTTTTTTTTGTTGTTGTTGTGTTTTTGCCCCTGGAGGATCAAAGAAGCCAAAACTGATTTCTGGAGCTGTCAGGGTTGTGAGATTTACACACATATCTGTGTGTGTATCTGCCTGCCTGGTTGCCTCAGAGTTTCTTTGGCAAATGGAATGCTCTTCTCAATCAGTGCAGCTCCTAGTGTTTTAAAAGTTATACTTTGGTGGGATTATCTGGGTTGTGATCCAGCACACACTTTTTTGTAATGGCCTTATACCGCACATACCTCTTATTAATTCCCTTAGAGGGGAGTTCTTTTTTCCTCTAAATTTGTATACATAAGACCTTCTCAGTGTCACAGAGGCTCATGATTCAGGTGTTCAGGTAAAACTGAAAGGTTCGGTACTGCATATATTCTTTGGATTTTTAGAATATTAGAATGGAAGTCTGAGAGCTGTCAAGGATTGTTTTTAATTAGGCTATGTGTAAAAATATGCATAAATCGCCATTGTTTAGAAATTTATCAAAAAGTAGGAGAATTAAGAGAAATAGAGGGAAGTGGAACTAGAAGAATGTTCCGCTGCTTTGCACTCTAGATGGGAATCAAAAGTGTAAGTTCAGGTGTTTGATCATTCTGGTATGTTTGCCTTTTGTTTTCCCATTATTCGCCAGAATTGCCAGGGTCCATCACAGAAGTGTACAATAAGCCAGCCACAGAAGTTTCTAATGGTGTAATTGTATAATTCTAACAGTTGATAATTATCAAATCATATATTCAAATATATGATCATACTCTCTTGTAGTTTTTTTTTTTTTTGATGTTAACTTCGTGGAATATCATCAACCAAACCCCATGCTCAACTGGAGGCAACCTGAAATTGTATGGTTGCAATTTAGAGAAGAACGTTTTATACTGCAGTCACAAAAGTGGAACTAAGGAACTGTAGTTTGTGTCAGTCACAGGAGAATGGACCCGAATTGGCATGTGCCTTAGGAGGGATCAAAGGCACCTCTTGCTTTCTTGCATTCCTTCAGCAGCCAGGAATCTCTGAAGTGCCAGGTTGAGCACAGGGAACATCCCTTGCTCCAGGTGAAGATTTAAAGGAAGGCTGAAGGTCCTGTAAGCACCTCACTCTCCAAATTTATCTGTGCATGTTGCACATGGCTCCAGCACAAGAGTTCATGACTACAGTGATCTTCAGCCTCTCCAATATTCATATCAGATCTCTACTCATCTCTGCCAAGTTGTATACTAAAGTAGGTATTATTTGGTATTTTTTTACCTTTCACTGCTTATGTTAAAAAGGATAATAAAACAGATTTAGATTTTTTTTTCCAACAAGAACAAGCTGGGCAAGCATTCAAAAGAGAATATTCACATTAGCCCACTGATACACAGTAAGGGAGATGTGCACGTAACTCTACACCAGCAAATTTTAACGGTATTATTGTTGTTATTTTTTGGTTTTAGAAGATACCATCTTTGAAACTGAGTTTTATCCAAATCCACTAGGATTTTGGCTTAAATGCTACTCCCTCATATAAAGCAAGTTCTGATGCATCCGTTTATGCTCTGATTTGCCAGTTTCTTTTCACTGTTTAAGGAGATGCATTTTATTGCAGGCTAAATCCAGCTCTCGGGCCAGAGATTAATGCACAGCTCCATTCTCCCTTTGCCCTGATCCCTCCTCCAGAGCGCAATTTCTTTACTCTGCGCCTTTTGCTGTGCAGTTGTCTGCGATCACTGAGGCAGTAACTCCACATAACTGCTGCTCTCTCCCACTTGGCTCTGCCTGTGTTTTGCCCAGGTTTCATAGACTTCATTGTGGAACCCACTTTTACTGTGCTGACTGACATGACGGAGAAGATTGTAACGCCGCTCATCGACGAAGCTTCCCGCTCCGGCCTGTCGGGCTTTAGGCGCTCCAGGTGAATAACCAAGCGCCCCTGCTGCTGTTCTGCCCAGCTTTCCTGGTTGCTCAGTATCCGCACTGCGGCCATGGCAGCTCACCTGATGACAGGATTGTGTTGCAGGGAAAGTCCTGCTGGTGGAGAGGGCAAAGAGGGAAACAGGGAGAAACCCGAGCCCTGCTGCCAAAGGCAGTGAGCACAACTGGGTGTAGCCTGATGAACTCTCCCAATCACTAATGCCAAAGGAAAGGTAGAGTCATTGGGAAACACTCATTTGTATTTGCAATTAAAAGAAAAAAAAAAGAATTGGGAAGTATAGGTACACTTGGGTTACACGAATGTCTAAAGTAGCACTAGAACCAATTAGAACAGTTTGGATATGAGGAGTCTTCGCTCATTTAACTTGCTCTACTGCCAGGAAGGCCTAAGGGAATGGTGCAGAGGCCAGGATGCAAGTTTGCTCCCTCAGTGCCAAATGCTTCCACTATTAAAATAAAGTCATGCTGCCTTCTGCCCATGCTCCTTCAGGCCCCAGGACTCTTGAATTTCTGGATGTTTTCACCAGAAGCAGGAAGAAGGCAGTGTCTTTCCATCCTCCTCCTGCCAACTGTCTCCCCTGTTTTCTGTAGTTTGGTGGACAGGACACTGTCTTGGCATTTAATAGCTGCATGGTAAGTGGTCCTCCATTAAAGCAGGGCCTCAAGGTAAACATTCCCTCTCCAAGGTGACTTCTTCAACCTTGGGCTGGCATGCAAAAGGTGACTACTGCCCTCTTTCCATGTCATTTACTTTCTTGTCTCTATTAAAATGTGCTCAGTTAAGTTTCTATCCCTAAAAGAGAACTGCAGGATCTATAATTCAAATGAGTGCCTGATTTCAGCCTTAACTGAGGACCCCGAGATCCCCACAGTCTGGGTAGGACTCTGAAGGAGTCCTATGCCTAGTGGCTCCCATTGGTGAATCTTAGGGGGCTCCTTATTGGCTTTCTGAAAATGTCTGACTCTCCAATTATTAATTAGTGAATAGAGACGTGCAGCAAAAGTAGCCTGGGCAACTCTGAATGATTCTTTTTCTTGAGGACTCAGAATACCTATAAATAAGCAGGGAATTAGTATTATAAACTACTGTTTCTAATACTGTGTTAGCTTGTGCCAGCTGTGTTAGCTTTTTTTAACATTGGTTGCCGTAGTGTAGGAGGAGGCAAGAATGAGGGATTTCAGCTTGGCTATGCATTTTTGCTGGTTGACTGTGTTAACTTATCTACACTTATAGTTGCTACTACTTCTTACCTGTGTTTGGACATATGGAATACTGGTTCCTGCTATGTTTTGTGATCTTGTTTCCCAGTCTGAACAGCATTAGTCCCTCAGAAGTTAAAAGATCAAGTGTCAAGAGCACTGGGTCAGAAGGAAGTGCCTCACTCAACTGCTCCATACTCACTGTGGACTTCAAATGTTTTAAAGCCACCTGGACTGAGGTGGTACAGCAGAATCGGGAGAAATGGAAAGCACAAGCCACCAAAGGTAACAGCAAGACTTCTTAATGAAAGAATAAAAAATCTTTTGACCTCTTCTTCTTCAAGCTCTTCTTCAATGAAATTCTTCTCCAAGTAAGCTCTGTTAGTTTGAAACAATCTGCTTTTTGAGGTCAGCAGTCTACAACGAATTTAGAAAGAAAGAAAGATTGTAACACATTTGTGCATTGTGTGTAAGTGTGTATGATGAAAGGGATGTGGAAAATAGGAAGGGAAAAGAAAAAACAAGCAAATTGCAAGGGAGGTTCCCTTACAATGTGAGGGGAGTCATGAGTCAGAATTAGGCTGGGTGCAAAAATAGCTGGAAAAAAAGTGTATTTACAGAGCAGTTGTCAGTAGAAAGAAATATGAAAGATAGTTCAGAGGAGGTCAGCATACCCTGGAGTCGCTGCTGGATTTGATTTGCAGTGATAGTTTGGATGATGGATTACAAAGTATGCGGCATTTGCTCGTGATGTCATCAGTCTGAAAAGCACTGCAGAGTGTAGGGACTGTGTTGGTTGCAAGCTGTCTGGGGTAAATATTGTCATACTATTGTAAAAATACAAAGCAAGCAAACCAACCAAACAGAATAAGATTTCAAGGTGTAAGCAGAAGCATTTCTTCTAAGATGTTTGGTGTTCTTCCTTATCTTTCAGTATTCCTAAGGCTCTTGCATGATCCCAGTTTTGAACACTGTGGTTCAGCAAAGATATGGCAGAATGCAGAGCAAAGTCAAGCAAATTATAAGGCATCTCAAAAATTAGTGACTCATTTATCCTGATGAAGAGACAACCGAGGAGATAGAAGTCAGTTTTCAGAAGACTGTTGCTGCTGTAAAATAAGGGAATATTTTCTTTTATTTCTAGTATCTCTGCTAAAACAAGGAATACTTGGCAGATGATTATAGAGTGGTAGTAAGTTAGACAACTGCAAATCACTGTTATTGAGATCTTTAGAAAGAAATGAGAGAAACATATATTGAGAATGACTTAAATCTAATTGCTCTGCCTTGAGGTTTATGTCAGCTGCCTTCAGATCACCTCAAACTTGAGAGAGATTTAGGTAGGCTTTGGAACTAAAGAAGAAGGAATGTATCTCTTTTGTTTTGTTTTTTTTTTCTTTGCAAAATTGTTATACAATGTCCCCTCTGAGCTGTTTGCTTGTTATTCAGTTCTTCTTTTTAATGGAGTTTTTGTATTTTACATGAATAGGAGAAGCTTGATTTTCATGCATTATGTGACCTTGGCCTCAGGACTGATGCAAGGTTTGGCTCAGCTCTTCTGTTTTGAAAGCAGATTGTTCCTCTGCAGTTGAAAGGCCTGTGTGTAGGTGCAGAAAGGCAAACATTAATCAAATTAAATTTTCCTTGGGATTAAAATTTGCCATTCAGGAAAAGCCTTTCTATTTATTCCAGGAAAATAAAAACAAAACATAACACAAAATGTATTTGTTTTCCAGGTTTTCTGGATGTGCTTTAGTTTTCTAATTGGTATTTACTAATTCGTGTATTCTTTTTGGAACAAACAAATCAAAGCTAACCAAACAAGCAAAGTGTTTTAGTTGGTCAGCATCTCACAGTAGATAAGTATTGAGTGAATGAAGTATGGTTAATAGTACAGTTTTAAGGGTTTCAATACACGCACCATACTTGCAATCTCTGCATCTCCCTCCATCTGTCCAGCCTCACTTGGCCTTATGCAGCAGGGTCTGCCACACAGTGGGGGGTTAAACCGCCCACCCCTCTCAGACCAGTGACTTTGCAATGCAGCAAGATGCTCCTGTGGTAAAAATAAGAGTTATTATTAAAGGACAAATAAAGCAGCTAACAGTTGTTCAACAACTAGGAATCATCAAGGGAGAAAAAAACCCCATCTATTATTATTGTTTTTGTTGTTGTTGAATTTATGTTGTTAGTAAATATGCAAGAGATTGTAGAATACTGTCTGCCCTTTGGTGAGGGCACTGTCCCCTGGAGCATCAGTGTGTTGTTTTTATCCTGAGTGTGGTATTTATGGCAAATGTCTTGGACTGTGTGGGCTAAGTATGTGAGTTTATTACCGAGCTCTTTTTACTTAAAGGATCATCGTTAAATAGCTACAAATTAAAAGCCGGAATAAACATACACCCTGATGTGCAGAGCACCATGTAGAGTGAAGTATTTTCTGACACTAATTTTGATAACAGGCACTTATCCAATAGTACTGTAAGAAGCCCCAGTCTCCAAAGCTGAATCTGTCTCCTGTGGTGCAGGTGCAAAATATAGCGATTTTTTTTTCAGCTCCCCAAATGAGAGGAAGCCTTCTGTATACCATAAGTTTTCAGGCGATATATCAATGTGCATAACTGAGCTGTCTGTGGAAGCTACCATGGATTTCAGGAATGATTAATAAAGTGAGGGAGGCTCATATCTAATTTAATTATATTTTCATGTGAGCCATAATTAATTCATTTAAAAATTAATTAACTTTAGTTAGCTGCTGGCAAGGCAATACAGATTGTTCTAAAGATGGCTTTCTCCCTTTCTTTTTGTATATTATCGGTAGATTTCTCTCCAACTGGTTCCGATTCACTGATTAGAAGTATTTGAGAAGATGTCTAGAAATTCATTTGTAATTTTTATTCCCTGACCAAGACCTGGGTTGTGTAAGGCACAAAACGTCTTTGCTGTAGGTGTCAAGAATGCTTCAGCTGGACTGAAGAAGACCTCATTCAATATTTTATAGGGCCTGTTTACCTGCTTCCATAGTCTCCCAGACATCAAAACCCACTTGGACGCAGTCCTGTGCCACATGCTCTAGGTGACCCTGCGTGTGGAGGAGGGTTGGACTAGATGACCTCTAGAGGTCCCTTCCAAACTTAAGCGTTCCATCATTCTATGAATGTCTGTCTCAGACTCTGAACTGAGAGTAGTTTGCTGCACTTGCAGTATAACGCTTTATTCATCCTGGATACAGGCGTAGGAATCTAGAGGGGCTCTCTCTAGATAAACCTGGCTGGGTTTATCATCTCGAGTGCGGTGCTGGGGGACCGTGGCTCTCTGCTGCCTTCCTACACCGCCCCGCAACCC